AAAAACGCAAGCGAAAACCCAATTCTGGGGAATCGTGTGTAAAAAACAATACGCGGGGGGGGGGAGCGGGGCGGGGGGGCGAATACGCAAAAGACGTCATCAGGGGAAGAGGGAGAGTAGTATTCATATTGAGTCATTGTGGAGGAGGAGGAGGAGGAGGAGGAGGAGGAGGAGGAGGAGGAGGAGGAGGAGGAGGGAGAGGGAGGAGTAGGAGGAGGGCGGCGGAGGGCGGAGGAGGAGGAGGAGGATGAGGAGGAAGAGGAGGAGAGATGGAGGAGGAGGAGGAGGAGGAGGAGGAGGAGGAGGCGGAGGACCGGAAGGGCGGGAGGGAGGGAGGGGAGGAGGGAGGGGGGGAGGAGGGAGGGAGGGAGGGAGGGAGGGGAGGGAGGGGGGAGGGAGGGAGGGGAGGGAGGGATTGGAGCGAGGGAGGGAGGGACGAGGAGGAGGAGAGGAGGAGGAGGGAGGAGGAGGAGGAGGAGAACTGGAGAGGAGGAGGAGAACTGGAGAGGAGGAGGAGGAGGAGGAGGAGGAGGAGGAGGAGGGATAGGCAGGAGGTACGAGGGGGCGCGGGGAGCAGAGATGAGGGACGAGGGGGTGGGCGGCTGGCTCGAAGAGGGGGGCGGGGCGAGGACTGAGCGGGGAGTGTTCAGGCCCAGTAGTAGAAGTGCCAAAGTGGCCCCCTGCGAGTGCGACGTGCACGCTCGCGAGGACGGCCGGCCTTCTCGGCGGCCGGCGCACGGGCGACGGATGCGCGACGCACTCCTTGTCGCGGGGGGGGGGGGGTCAGCACGCCGGTCGCACACTGGGCCTTAACAGCGGGGAGGACGGATGGAGGAGGAGAGGCCGAGGGTGCAGGAAGATTTAGACTCCCAGCGTCGACAACAAAACACAAGGGGGGGTGCAGCCTCGAGGGGCAAACACTCTTGCATATTGCATAAAAGTGTAAGCCTTCGAAGGTCTGCGTGTATCGTCCCCTGGCGGCACCTCCAGTGCCGCCCCTGGCACGCTTGGTGGTCCATGGAAGGGGGGCTCAGCGCCAGCCCAGGGAAGCCGTGCGGACCTTCGAGAGTACACCTCGGTCCTTGGAGGTGGGTATTTTCGGTTTCCCATATCCCAGTCGACCTCAAGCGCCTTCCTACTTCAAGAACCAATATGATTTTGCTGCGGCTCCTTATTACTGGGGGGGGCCTGAATTTAGTATACTTGATTCGCCTTCTTACGTCATGCTTTTCCCTGCTTCCTCCGACTGACGCGTATATGTGCTTATGCAGCTTGTTGGTACTGCAGTCGCGCCACGATAAATCTTGACGCGGGGAGGCTATGTTCGGCCTCCTGGACAAGTAAATGATTCGGGAAAACGGGGGTCCGAGATTTCTTGGGGTCCACAGTGCTATAGGACCGCGGTATCGGATGATTGGGGAGCGGAATGGAGGACGTACGAGAGGGGAAGGCCGAGGATGGAGGATTAATGGATTGGGCACGTCGGAAGATCATAACATCAACGACAAACGGTAGCCACCAGCTGTAGGCATCTGCGCGCGACCACCCCTAACGCTTTAGCAAGCATCCCCCCCTACACACACACGCGCAATTTGATGGCAAACTCAACAGGCCGTGAGTCCTGCTACCCAGCGGAACTTACCCGCACATGTCAACAGGCGCAAAGACGCGGGCACCCTGCGTATGCAGATGCCTGACTCGATCGGGTGATTGATGACGGCGGCGGCGAACTCAGCGACAACAGTGGCGATGATGATTATGTTCATGGTGGTGGCGATGATGACGAGAACGACGACTATGACTATGACGGTGTTGATGAGGTGAAGAGGAAGTGCGCTCGCACAAGTTATGCCATGTGTTTGTTGAAGCGCACTGTCATTCCACATGTGATTGAACACGTGTAGTTGAAATCGGTGGGAAGCATGGGGGTAACCTTCCCAAGGGTACCCTTGCATCCGTGCCTCGTTAGTCCATCCTTGACTGCGTTCGATGGCACGTCGCGGTCGCAGAAGCTTCAACACGGGCGTCCAAGGGGCGTGCATCCGTATCGCGCATCCGGGCTGTCAGCTTCGATTGTATGCATCGATATGCATCGCAAACATCCCGCTTTCGCACACAATCCGACATACGGCGGAGGAGAGAGGGAAAACCAACGCGCAAAGGGGACCACCACTGGTGACAAACACAGTCAGAACCGATGATCACGATAGGTCGCTTTCCCAAGGGTGCCCTTGCATCCATGTCTCCTCTGCCCATCCTTAAGCACTTTCGATGGACAGCCCCTCTTGAAAAACTTCGACGTGCGCGTCCCGTGGACTTGCATCCTTATCGCTCATCCTCACTATAAGTTTTAGTTGTGATCCCGCACACGCGTACGTACGTTTTCTCTGCCGAGGCGCTGATCCAGTTGCGAGGATTCACGGCGCCGGTAGGGGAAATAAGTATGCTATGTAGGTGGTGCTGGGGGGGGGGGGGAGGGCAGAATTAATCCACCCCATTGGATGGAGAGTGGTGGTGAGGGTGATGTGTCCATTTGCCGGCCAGCGCTGCCAGGTGGAACGCGAGTGTAGACCTCGACCTTCGTATGGTGGTCAAGGGGCAGAGCCTTTTCAGAACCGACAAGGTGATGCGCATCAACTGGGGCGAAGAGAAAGACAGCGTCTTCAACTTGGAGGCAGACGAGCGCGGTGGAAACGACGGCCTCAAATCAGAGGTGATCTCTTTCAGGGATGATTGGCAGATGACGGCACGGAAGTTTTTGGGTGGGACGTGGGACCATCCTCCCGACGGCCAGTACTGGATCTCTGCGCAATATTTCTCAAGCCAGATTGGCAGCCAGCAGCCCGTTGAGCCTCCAGCTGACAAGCTCCAAGACGAAATCCTGTACGATGCCGACCTCTTCCTGGGCGAGGAACTTGACTCGGGTAAGCCTCGACAAGCTGGTGCCGTGCGAGGGAAACTGAAGTGGGATTCGAACATGGATAAGCGGACCGTTCTGCTGTTCGGCTTCGAGAAATCGGGCAACAGCATCAGTGGCTTCAGCCCGACGGAGGTGCCCGAAGACCACTGGCGGCAGCCGAGGAACGGCTGGTGGTGACGCCGAGCGGCCAAATTATTGTGCCTGCTAGCGGCAGCTCCTTGCCGTATGCCGCTATGTCCTTTTTGGTTGTTCCTTCTAGCAATATCCGCCCTCCTATCTTGATCGTTTGCCCATACGTTCGTACTTTTTCAGCCTCGTCGCGCCAGGAAAGGCAGAGGCGACAGGGATGCTCACACATGAAGAAAGAGGGCAGCAAATCCAGCGTCGTTCGTCGTGGAGGGGGGGGCGCTTAAAGTGGGGATCTCTTATCTGTCTTGTCCCAAGCACTGCAGTCCACATTCTCGAGGGCCCTCGTTTTCCACGCCGCCTCAGGTCGTTCGACCTGGCCCCCGCCAATCATCAGAGTGAGGGGGCCGAACGGTCATTCACTGTCCCTGGGTGCGTGGCTGAAGTAGGATTCCGCGGTGCGGATTCGTGTTGTTGCTGTTGTTGTTGTTGGTGTTGTTGTTGTTGGTGTTGTTGCTGTTGTTGTTGTTGAACATTATTAATTCTAAAGAATAATTATTGTTGGGACCCCTGGTGCACGGCCCCCCTGCGCCGCCTAGGCCGCAGCTACATGTTCATCATTTTCGTGAGGAAGCCTCAGGTAACTCGATGTGATCAAGATCCGGTTGTTTTGTTCCCCCCCGCTTTCCCTTGCAAAAAACACTATAAAATGACATTTCTTGTTCTAATATAATCAAATTTCAAGAATCCCTTTGCAAAAAATAAGGTAAAGTGGACATTCGCGCGCGCAAGACGAAATCCTTCCAAAAGCTTAGTGTTCGGAGCGATTTCAACATAAAAACATCAAAAAACTAATGGTTTTTCAACAAAAAAAAATGTCAAAATCTCATCCCGCGCGCTCTTGCGGATTCGTAGGAAACCCAACACTTTTTAAACATTTCTGTCAAACGGGCTTTTGCGAGCAACTTTTTCGAACTTCTGCGACAACGGTTGCGCACCTGCCAGGGCCATCATCACTGTCAAATAATACCATGCGGGACACATTCGTTTTTTCTTCGCGCGCGCACGCCGAAATCTCCAAAAACCATTGGGTTTCTTAAGAATTTTAGCACCGCGCATCATAAAATCACACGAATCGCACCGTAGGTCCTCGAAAAACACCTGCACGACTTTTCAAAATTTCCACCCGCGCGCGCTGTCCGAATCCTAAAAAAAAAACAATGGTTTCCCAACATTTATGTTACATGAGCTCGCGCGAGCTACTTTCGCACGCTCTTGCAAAGGGGTTCGCGCGCCTGCCAGGGGCCATAATCCCTTGCGGTTGCGCCATAGGTTGCGCCCTCGGCCGCCGAGAATAAAACGCCCTCCTATTGGTTGCGCCATAGGTTGCGCCCTCGGCCGCCGAGAATAAAACGCTCCCTACTGGTTGCGCCATGTCTCTCTCTCTGTCTGCTCTCTGTCTCTCTCTCTGTCTCTCTGTATTATGTATGGTATGGCACAATTGCACCATGCTGGGCACATGCGCGCCCCGAATAAGTGACCAAGTTCTGTGGGTGTGTACCCCACGCCAGTGTAGTAGCCACGGTCGTCCGCACGCCACGAAGTGAAGTGTCCCAACGTCATAGGGCTGGAAGCTGGGTTTGGGTGGTCGCGAAGAGTCGTTTGGATATTTGGTAGAGCTTGTAATGCCCCCCCACGAAGTGGGGGTTTTGCCTGGTGTCGTATGAAAACCCTGGCACTGGGGAGAACACCACGCGTTCGGGTAAAATGATTGTTGTTGTTGTTGTTGTTGTTGTTGTTGTTGTTGTTGTTGTTGTTGTTGTTGTTGTTGTTGTTGTTGTTGTTGTTTTTGTTGAACACTATTACTTCTAAAGAATTATTATTGTTGGACCCCCTGGTGCACGCCCCCCGCCCAAAACCTAGGCCGCAGCTACATTTTCTTCATTTTTCTGCGAAAGCTTCAGAAAAGTGGATTACCCCCGGATCCGGTTTTTTGTTGACGCTCGTTTTCCCTTGCAAAAAAACAATAGAAAATGAAAATTCTTGTTCTTAGTTGATCAAATTGCAAGAATCCCTTGCAAAAAATAAGGTAAAGTGGACATTCGCGCTCGCAAGACGAAATCCTTCCAAAACCTTAGGTTTCGTAGCGATTTTAACATAAAAACATCAAAAACCCAATGGTTTTTCAAGAAAAAATTGTCAAAATGTCCTTCCGCGCGCTCTTGCGGATTCATAGGAAACACACCACTTTTTAAACATTTCTGTCAAAAGGGTCTTTGCGTGCTACTTCTTAAGGTGCTTTGAACTTCTCCAACAACGGTTGCGCGCCTGCGAGGGCCACCATCCCTTGCAAAAAATGAGACGAAGTGCACATGCGCGCGGCCGCCGCGCGCGCATGTCGAAATCCTGACAAACACAATGGGTTTTCAATAATTTCAAGATGCGATGTTCAGAAAACATATGAAAACGCACTACTTTATCATCCGAAAAATCTCGAAATCCATTCGCGGTCTCTTGATGAATCTTTAAAACCCAAGATGGCCCCAACAGGAGCGCAAGATGGCCCCAAGAGGCGTCCATGAGGCCCAAAGAGGCGCCCAAGATGGTCCCAAGAGGCTTCAAGAGGACTCCAAGAGGCCCCCAAGAGGTTCCAGAGAGGATCCAAGGTGGCTCCAAGAGACCCCCAAGATGGCCCCAGGAGGCGTTCTAGAGGCCCCAAGAGTCCGCCGTGAGGGTCCAATAAGCCCCCAAGAGGCCCCAAGATGGTTCCAAGGAGCCCCCCAAAGGCTCTCAAGTGGACCCCAAACCGCGCCAGGAGGCTTCCCCCCTTCCCCAAGAGGACCCCCAGCGGCCCCAGGAAGGCCCCCGACTGCTGACGCACATATCCGTAGCCATCTCGGATCAAGGTATCGCCTGTGTTCTTGGATCATGGCTTTGACGGCGAAAGACCTTCACGAGCAGTATGGCCCTGAGCTGTCGCGGCCTCCCTTGGCCGACTGCGAGAGTGCGTATTATTTGCATCAGGCGCTCCGGGCAAAGGGTATCAATGCTAGTCACCAGGCGTGCAAGACTTGGTGGGACAAGTATCGGGTTGTGACTGGCACGGTCAGTATTTCTAGCGCCAAGGAGCTGGAGGAGCAGCACGGCTCTGCCATCCGCCACCTGGGCATTGAGTATAATACCGCTTTCAAATTATGCCGGGCGCTCCGACAGTTGGATCCACCACTGTATGTGCCAGATAGGGTCGCAGTGAGCTCGAGTATGGATCGCTGGCATACGCCACCCGGCCACGAGGCGTATGCACGCCGCTGGTTGAAGCAGTGTGGCTCGGAAAGGTGGTTCGCGTGCGGTTTCTTCTTCCCTCTTCTATGGGAGGGTGTTACGGGCGTGTGCCTCGCCGTATCGAGCGGTATGTCCACGGGGCAGTCGAAGATCAACAACGACCCGGAGTACCAGCACAGTATGGGGGGCATCGCCGAGCCCGAATGGCTGTGCTTCGACGCGTACTTTTACGCGAACGCGGTATTCGGGAACTTCTCGGTATTCCAGGATGAGAGGCTTGGGAAGCCCATTGGCTACCTTGTGCACGTATTCGACACGCTGTGCACCGCAGCAGGTATCGTCGCCTGGAAAGCCAACCTCTACGTCCACCCGGGCCAGTGGGTGTATCGCAGTATGCGGTATTTGCTCGGTCAGCTCGCTATTCCCATTCATGCGGAGATCGTATCCGGCCTCTCCTACAGGGCCCTGCCACCTTGGACGTATTCATTGCGTACCACGCGGCCTTCATGGGTACGGACCCGCAGAAAATGGCCCTTTGGAACGTATCCCCTGAGGTCGGCACAGAGATCACGTATCCGCGTCAAGACCAGTGGTGGTGGTTGCCCGTATGGCGGTCGTATGGTCAGAGCGACGAGCTTCCGAACATGCTCGATTTCCAGGCCTTGCCACCGCAGGTCCACAACGTGCTCGCGGTAGCACTGCCGTATGCAAGCACCGGCCTTCCCGCCAGCAGGCGCATCGGCAATCTCATTGGGCATCTGGGACCGCACGGGTATCAGCCAGGCCCGCGCGTGTACCAGCCAGGCAGCCGGGCACCCACGCGCCCGCTCCGCGCCATCGCAGACGACGATGCGTCGCGCCTTTAGTATGCTTCTGGATGCGAAGACCATTCGGTTGAGTATACCCCTACGTGTGACTGGACCTGTTTGCGAAAGCAGGAGAAAGTATGGCACCCCTTTGTGTCCAGAGCCGCGCCGTCTGCGTTCTTCCTTTCTCGCTTCTCTCCTTTCCTCATTGTCCTGCTCCTCCTCCCCCTCTTCCGCCTTGGAGCCGTATTGGAACTGTCGATGGCCATCTCCCTTTCTCCCTCGCATGTCTGCTTGTACATGCGTATAATTTCAGAACTTACCGTGCATGCGATCGTTTACAACATGGTGGACCGTGCGTATGCCACGAACCTTGTATACATGTGTTTCTCTCCCTCCGTCTGGCTGTGCACGCGCGCGTTGGGCACTGAGAGTTAGGATCATAGCGCCATGAGTCTATGAGCAATGCATGCGTCATCCTTGGGACTGTATAACATCAGTGTACACATGTACTTCTGTAATCGCATCCCCACGAATTTGCCCCAAAAATGTGACCAACTATCTTGGCACTGCGTACCATCTCACGTGTACCGTGTACCACATCATATGTAACAGATTTGATCAACCTCTGTGGGTGTGTACCCCACGCCAGTGTAGTAGCCAGGGTCGTCCGCACGCCACGAAGTGAAGTGTCCCAACGTCATAGGGCGGGAAGCTGGGTGTGGGTGGTCTCGACGAGTCGTTTGGATATTTGGTAGAGCTTGAACGGCCCCCCCACGAAGTGGGGGTATTGGCTGGTGTCGCAAGAAAACCCTGGCACTGGGGAGAACACTGAGCGTTCGGGTAAAATGATTGTTGTTGTTGTTGTTGTTGCTGTTGCTGTTGCTGTTGCTGTTGCTGTTGTTTTTGTTTGTGCTGCTGTTTGTGGTGTTTTTTTTGTTTGTGTTCGTGTTGCGGTTGTTGTTCATGTTGTTGTTGTTGTTGTTGTTGTTGTTGTTGTTGTTGTTGTTGTTGTTGTTGTTGTTGTTGTTGTTGTTGTTGTTGTTGTTGTTGTTGTTGTTGTTGTTGTGTTGTTGTTGTTGTTGTTGTTGTTGTTGTTGTTGTTGTTGTTGTTGTTGTTGTTGTTGTTTGTTGAACATTATTTATTCTAAAGAATAATTATTGTTGGGCCCCCTGGTGCGCGCCCCCCCTGCGCCGCCTAGGCCGCAGCTACATTTTCATCATTTTCGTGAGGAAGCCTCAGGTAAAACGATGTGATCCAGATCCGGTTGTTTTGTTGTAATCCGTTTTCCCTTGCAAAAAACACTATAAAATGACATTTCTTGTTCTAATATAATCAAATTTCAAGAATCCCTTGCAAAAAATAAGGTAAAGTGGACATTCGCGCGCGCAAGACGAAATCCTTCCAAAAGCTTAGTGTTCGGAACGATTTTAACATAAAAACATCAAAAAAACCAATGGTTTTCAAAAAAAAAATGCCAAAATTTCATCCAGCGCGCTCTTGCGGATTCGTAGGAAACCCAACACTTTTTAAACATTTCTGTCAAACGGGCTTTTGCGAGCAACTTTTTCGAACTTCTGCGACAACGGTTGCGCACCTGCCAGGGCCATCATCCCTGTCAAATAATACCATGCGGGACACATTCGTTTTTTCTTCGCGCGCGCACGCCGTCGTCGTCGGCCGCGGGGCCCTGAATAGTAGCCACGGTCGTCCGCATGCCACGAAGTGAAGTGTCCGAACGTCATAGGGCGGGAAGCTGGGTGGGGGTGGTGGCGAAGAGTCGTTTGGAAATTTGGTAGAGCTTGAACCGGCCCCCCCACAAAGTGGGGGCATTGCCCGCCTCCTATGAAAACCCTGGCACTGGTGAGAACGGAGTGTCCCCACGTGCTAATAATTGTTGTTGTTGTTGTTGTTGTTTGTTGTCGTCGTCCCACCCGCAACCCGCCCCGCGACCCACCCGCGACCCACCCCGCGACCCACCCGCGACCCACCCCGCGACCCACCCCGCGACCCACCCCGCGACCCACCCCGCGACCCAACCCGCGACCCACCCCGCGACCCCCCCGCGGCCCACCCCGCGACCCACCCGCGACCCACCCGCGACCCACCCGCGACCCACCCCGCGACCCACCCCGCGACCCACCCCGCGACCCACCCTGCGACCCACCCTGCGACCCGCCCGCGGCCCACCCCGCGACCCACCCGCGACCCGCCCGCGACCCACCCGCGACCCACCCGCGATCCACCCGCGACTCACCCCGCGACCCACCCGCGACCCACCTTCGACCCAAACCACGTTCAAGGTACAAACCAACATTTTCGGCGCCTGCGGCGGGCTTTTTTTGCATTCCTTCCAGGTGGAGAGCCCGCGACCCACCCCGCGATCAACTCGCGACCAACCCGCGACCCAAACCACGTTCAGGGTACAAACCGCATTTTTCGGCGCCTGCGGCGGGCATCTTTTGCATTCGTTCCAGGTGGAGAGACCGCGGCCCACCCGCGACCACGTTCAGGGTACAAACCGCATTTTTCGGCGCCTGCGGCGGGCATCTTTTGCATTCGTTCCCGGTGGAGAACCCGCGGCCCACCCGCGACCCAAACCACGTTCAGTGTACAAACCAATTTTTTCGGCGCCTGCGGCGGGCTGCTTTTGCAGGAGGACGAGGAGGAGGAGGAGGAGGAGCAGCAGGAGGAGGAGCAGCAGGAGGAGGAGCAGCAGGAGGAGGAGGGAGGGGACGACGACGATGACGACGACGACGACGACGACGAAAAGGAGGAGGGTGGAGGATCGGGAGGGGGGGAAGAGGAGGAGGACGACGAGGAGGAACATGACGACAATGGGAGGACGATGATGGAAGGACGAGGGGGGGAGAGGGAGGACGAGGAAGAAGAGGAGGAGGAGAATGAGGACGAGGTGGAGGAGGAGGACGACGATGACGATGAGGACGAGGACGAGGACGAGGAAGAGGAGGAAGGCGGAGGGGAGAGGAGGAGGAGGAGGAGGAGGAGGAGGAAGAGAGCGCCATCGACAGGCAAGGTGGGGGCCACGAGGTCCGCCGGCTTGACGACGCCCGCGTCGCCCGCGCCCGCCCCCTCACTCTTATGCGCAATTGCGGGGTGCTACGTATCGAGTGGCTCTCGAAGGGGCCGCACGTTTTACTCCCCGTACCGCTCACTCCAGGAGAATGCTCGGGGGAGGGGGAGGAAGAGGAGGAGGGGGAGGAGGAGGGGGAGGAGGAGGAGGAGAGGAGGAGGAGGAGGAGGAGGAGGAGGAGGAGGAGAAGAGGAGGAGGAGAAGGAGGAGAGAGGAGGAGGAGGAGGTGGAGGAGGAGGACAAACACGAGGAGGAGGAGGAGGAGCCGCAGGAGGAGGAGAGGAGGAGGAGGAGGAGGAGGAGGAGGAGGGGGAGGAGGGGGGAGGAGGGGGAGAGGAGGGGGAGGAGGAGGAGAGGAGGAGGAGGAGGAGGAGGAGAGGAGGAGGAGGAGGAGGAGGAGGAGGAGGAGGAGGAGGACAAGGACGAAGACGAGGAGGAGGAGGAGGAGGAGGAGCGGAGGAGGAGGGGTGGGAGGAGTGGAGGATGGGGAGGGAGGAGGAGGAGGAGGATAGGAGGAGGAGGAGGAGGAGAGGTGGAGGAGGAGGAGGAGGAGGAGGAAGAGGAGTAGGAGGAAGGAGGAGGAGGAGGGGGTGGGAGGAGTGGGAGGATGAGGAGGAGGAGGAGGAGGAGGAGGAGGAGAGGAGAGGAGGAGGAGGAGGAGGAAGAGGAGGAGGAGGAAGGAGGGAGGAGGAGGAGGAGGAGAAGGGAGAGAAGGAGGTTGAGGAGGAGAAGGAACCACCTGTGCCCAGCGGAGGCTCCCTGGGCATCCAGCTGCCCTCCGTGCCCGAGCACCCCCCCCCGGGGTTGCTCGGGGGTCAAGGCTCGGTGCGTCGAGGCCGCTGGCTCCCACTCCCGGGCAACGGCCAGTGGCCCCACATGTCTTGGCATGCTGCGCGGCTCGTGTCCGTCCTGCTGCGCGATGGGAGGGCGGTCCGCCTGGCCTCCACGCGCCCGTGTGTCGTCGAGGCAGTTCGTCATGGTGTGCTCGTGGTTCTCGCTCCTGGCGGAGGAGGAGGAGGAGGAGGAGGAGGAGGAGGAGGAGCAGGAGGAGCAGGAGGAGGAGCAGGAGGAGGAGGAGGAGGAGGAGGAGGAGGAGGAGGAGGAGGGAGGGCGGGAGGAAGGGATGGAGGGAGGGAGGGGGGAGGCAGGGATGGAGGGAGGGAGGGAGGGAGGGAGGGTGGGAGGAGGAGGAGGAGGAGGAGGAGGCGGAGGAGTTGGATGATGATGATGATGATGATGAGGAGGAGGAGGAGGAGGAGCAGCAGCAGCAGGAGCAGGAGGAGCAGCAGGAGGGAGGCAGCCGTTCGGTTGGTGGGGATGGGGGTCCAGGCTCACCAGGCACCACAGTTGCCACAAACAATCTTCTTCACAGTTTCTAGAGCTGGGTGGGCGTCTCTAATGTCGGTGCGAACGATGCGGAGATGTAGACCTGCATTTTCTGACGCTTCGATACCTCAACGATTGGTCTCAATCCGCACTCTCTTGGGGATGGACGTGCGGCCAGCTCTCGGATCGGAGATTCGCCCCCCAATTTGGGCTTCAGCCCGTGTGCGATCGCCGTCCTGCTAATTTGCGCGTGTCCACGTGTGCGCCGTGATGCCAGTTTGGCACGTGCCGTCGCTACCGCTGGCACGTTCGACATCCGAATCGTCATTGAGCCCCGTGTTCAGGGATGCGGTCTCCCGAAGTCTTGGACGGTTTCGGCTCTCGTTTTAAGGATGGCATCCGTTCGGTTGCCGGGAGCCTCCCCCGTGCCGAATCTTGAGGGGATCCCTTTTTGGTTTCGGAGCCATCCATGCGGCCGTCGGGGCTCGCAGCGAACAAGGTGTAGAGTCCGATTCCGGCGCTTGCCTCCTGTCCCTCTGCTCCTCCTTCCTAGCGTCAAGTCGGGTATGTCCCTGTACAGGAGGGATACGCAAAAAATAACCATGCAAACATATGGGAGCGATGGTATTCTTGTTTGGGGGGACTACTTTCGAGTTCTGTTTTTCTTGATCCAATTTCACTCTTCTTCAAAAACCCGCCTGTAGAAGGACATGCCCGACCTAATCCTAGCTCCTCCTGGCCCTCACTTCGGGACGGGCGATCCTGTCAGCCCGTGGCCATCCGAGCTCAGCGACAGGGCGGGCCATTCTCAGGGAGCCCAGGGGCAGCGATGGCGGAGCAATACATCGTCGGATTCGACATCGTGGATGCCAGGAACCTCGTCACGCAGGACGGCAACCCGTGCGATCCCTTCGTGGTGGTCACCTGCTGCGGCAGGCGGGTCGAGACGAAGACGAAAGAGGAGAAGTTGTCGCAGGTGCTGTGGAACGAGAGCCACAAGTGGGCCGACCTGGAGCTGACGGAGGACTCGCCTTGGAAGCAGCTGCACAGAGCACACCGTGTCGGAGCTCCGTGCGGCTTCCCCGGACCTGCGCTGGACTCTCCCGGGCGGAGCCTCGGGCGCCGCTCCTGGCCCGCTCCGCGCGCCCCGGGTGTCCAGCGCAGGGGAAAGAAATCCGCGCGGAGCTCCGGCAGTGTGTGCCGATGCCGTCCTGCCTTCTTCCAGAGGATGAGTTCCGATCCGCCACCATCGAGTTTTCCGTCTACGCCCGGCACTTCTTCTGGAGGAACCACCTGATAGGGAAGGCTCGGGTGTATAGCCAAGACCCCAGGTAAGGGGACCCGGTCAGTGGTAGGGCCCCCGAGCCCCTCAATCCACCAGAATCACTACACCAGGTTTGCCGTAAGTTGTGTGTTTTTGTTGCGGGGGGCAGCAGTTTCTGTTACTTCATTCGTGAATTTAATAGGTATTAGGGTTTTAACAAATGATCGCAGCCACGCAGAGGGCGTGCGTAGCGACGCCCCAAGTGCTCGGCCTCCAGTATTTCTACGTGGCGGCGCCCCCGCAGGCACGCAGAGGAGAGGGCACGCGTGGCGACGGGGGCGTCGCCACGCAGAGCTTCTAAAGACCAAACATGTTGGAACCCAATTGCTTCCACTACTAAAGTAGTGGAGCGGGGCGGGGTGGGCGCCCCCCTGTGCACATCACTAAGCCACAGCCACTAAGCCAGGTCCCACTGCAGCCCAGTTCTGCCAACGCCCGGAAGGCGACGCTGCAGCTGCAGCAGATCAACAGCCGCAGGGGCCACGTGCTGGCGAACCGCGCGGTGCCGCTGCGCAGGGAGGACGCCGCCAGGGCGACCGGCGTGCTGAACCTCACCGTCTTCTGCCTCCGGTCCGGTGCCACAAAGTTGTGCTCATATTCAAATCGAATGGCGGACGAGCAGCACACACCCATACCCATGGGGGGGTCGTTGGAAGGAGGACTGGCTATGGGTATGGGTGCGGGTTGTCGGACCCTGGGGAACGCTCCCGTTTGAGCGAGGACCCCCATCCGACAACACGCACCCATAGCCCTCTCCGACCCCTCTATGGGTATGGGTGTGTGATGTTGGTTCGTCATCGAAGAAGAAAGAACACATAAGCATAGTCTTTATTGGCGCTCCGCGCGGACGTCTTGGATCCGCGCCTGGGCCCCACCGGCGGCGCCTCCAGCGCCGCCCCATGGCGCGCTCCGCGCGCCAGGGAGGGGGGTCCAGCGCGGATGCAGGAAATCCGCGCGGAGCGCCACATGTTTATGTTTATGTGGTTTTTCCTTCTTTTATCAAAGGTTCACTTTGGTTCCTGAAGGGGCAAGGAAGTTCCTTGGGTCCTTCAGCAGTGCCCCTGTGGCGTTGATACTGCATCTGTGCGACGCTGAGGCCAAACAGTGACTTCGTTCCTTATCCAAGGTCCAGGTCGAAACTTCGACTGTCTTTCCATGCCATTCTGCGCTCGCTCCCGGGGGAGAGGAACAGGGAGGGCTCTGCAAGACCCGATGCCCGAGCAGGGGTCCCATTTCATCGCTGCTTGGTTTCAAACAGATTCCTTTGCAGGGTCAAACGGGCGTTCCGTTCCCCCACCCTGGATGAGGTTGCGCATCGTGAGCGCCCCTTCTATGCGGTTGCAGGAAGCCGCGCATTTCGAAAGGCTCACGTAGCTCTGTGAAGCCATTGCCCTGGGGGATCGCGGCGGGCGATGGCGTATAGAGTATACTTGTTGGGCCCGCAGCAAGCAGGCCCGGGGAGTCCGTACCGAGCTGGAGCGCCGAGGAGGTGCCTGACGAGCACGACGAGCGGGAGCTCGCCGACATCTCCCGCGCCGTGCTGGGGGCCCAGGACGCCGTGGCCGAGGCGGAGGGCGGCAGCCCCTTCCACTTGCTGGTCTCGATGGGCATGTTTTCCACCACCACCACCATAAGTTGGAGGGGGAAGGAGGTGTCGGACGAGGAGGAGGAGGAGGAGGACGAGGAGAAGGAGAAGGAGGTGGAGGAGGAGGTGGAGGAGGAGGAGGAGGAGGAGGAGGAGGACCACTTGCTGGTCATCGAAGAAGAACAAACCACATAAACATGAACTTTTGGCGCTCCGCGCTGATTTCTTGGATCCGCGCCGGGCCCCCCCGGCGGCGCCTCCGGCGCCGCCCCTGGCGCGCTCCGCGCGCCAGGGAGGGGAGTCCAGCGCGAATCCAGGAATCCGCGCGGAGCGCCACAAGTTTATGTTAATGTTCTTTTTCTTATTCTAGGTCAGCGTCTTCAGAGTCGAGGGCCTCGCCAAGATCTTCGGGAGCTATCCCAACCCCTTTGTGACCGTGGAGTTCGCCGGCACAGTGGTGAAGACTCCGAGTGCGTGGGAGGTGGTCTAGGCCTCCCAGATGGGGTCCGAGCAGATGTGGTCGGAGGGTCCCGCCGCATCGCCGATGTATCGGCGATGCGGCGAGATCGCCCGACCTCATCTGCTCCGACCCCATCTGGGAGGCCTCGAGGTGGAGCACTGGACGTGGAACGCTTGCGCCCGCTTCCCCGTGGTGCCGCCCATCTACGAGGACACCGTGGTCCTGAAGCTCTGGAGCGCGGGCAGTGGCCTCGCGGCCGACCTCCTGCTGGCTCAGGGCTTCCTGTCCTTCAGCGAGCTGCGCAGCAGCGCCATGGCCGCGCGCTGGTTCAACCTCTACGGCTGGAGCCCAGAGGATCGAAGACGTAAGCAATGCGCAGACAGCATGCTTCGGACCTCCGCGCGGATTGCGGTGCGGGCGCTCCCCTGGCGGCGCCTCGAGCGCCGCCCTTGGTGCGCGATCCAAGAAATCCGAGAGGATCTCTTTAAAAAGTGTACGGTCATACCGCTTCTGGCTCCTCTAGAGGAGGTCCCGGATGCTGCAGGCCTCCGAGGGTCAGGCGAGGGCCTGAAGGCTAACTTCTTCATCGGCCGGCTACTCGTTGGAGCCCGCGTTGCGCCAGTGGAGGCCGTCGACGAATTGCAGCCTGCTGGCCTGGACCCCAGCAGGGCGACCGCCGCAATCGAGCCCGCAGTGGACAGCGCCGTGCTCTTCGTGGACGTCTACGAGGTGGCAGGCGCCGTGGGGCGTGAGTGTCGCGTCGAGGTGCAGTTTGGCCGTCACATCAGCAGCACGCCAGAGTGGGTGACGCCCACCGAGGGTCCCCGGACGTCTAACAACGACGCTGAGCGGGATGCCCATCCGCACGAGTTGGAGGATTTGACCACGTTTGCGTTCGCCGAGGTAGAAGGAAGGATGGAGCCGCTGCTGGCCATGTGTCCGACGGATCCCGAGTCGCAACCTGACGTGATGATCAATGTGTACACTCGTGGCGTTTTGTCTGGCGACAGGAGGATTGCCTACGCGAGGCTGCGCATGTCCGACTTCCAGGAGCTGCAGCTCGTGCCCGATGGCAAGGGTAATCTAGTTCACGCGCCAGCGAGGCCAAGGTACGTGCCCCTGTTGCCTGTGCCCGGCGCAAAGAGTCAGCGAGTCGCGCCCTCGGTGCTCATCGTGCTCGAGCAGCACGGCACTGACAATATTCGACGCGCCCCGCGCAGAGTCGTCCAGCCCACGGTGTATTGTTTACGCGCTTACATCTTCATGGCGCGAAACGTACACTCGGGCCCCAATGCTAATTGCGCTGTGCGCGTCTCTTGCGCGGGGATCTCTAAGTCGACACGGCCGCAGCAGGGAGTGCGGCCAACTTGGATGACCCCAGTGGACCTGAAGGTAACGCTGCAGTCAGACCGCAAGCTGCATGGCGGCGCGCCTTCGATGGAGCCCATCCAGCTCACGCTGGTCGACCAGGGCGGGAGGGCGCTCGGAGCCCAAGACGCAGACCTGGGTCAGGCGGTCTGCCAGTACGAGCACGTCCGGCAGACGAGAGGTGCCTCGGGCGAATGGGAGCCCTACCGACTCGACCCGCAGTGGATCAACCTGTACGGGGGCACCTTCGGCAGCCGCGTGGTCGGGCAGGTTCAGGAGGGGAAGAAACACACAGACACAATTCTTCACGCTTCGCGTATCCCCACCAGCGGGTTGCAGCTTGCACGACCGCCTGGCCTCTCAGACGCCCTGGGTTGCTGCTTGCCCCGCCGCCTGATCCGCGGCCCCCGCGCGCGCCCGGGAATTCGTCACGGCCGCAGCCCGACCGTGACTGCTCGCCGCCGGCGCTTCCGCCTGCGGCTGTAAAAAAAAAGTATCCCCACCAGCGCTGCACCTCAGCCGCCGCTTCTGAGTGCTGGCCCGGCTGGCTTGCGTGTCGCTTAGCAGCTAATGCTAATTTGGCTGGCCCGTGCCCCGGACCCCCTCTCGCCGCCTGCCCTCTGCTGCGCGGCCGCGACCAAAAAGTATCCCCACCAGCCCATTCAGAAGCCCTGCCCATGAGAGTTGACGGGAAAAGGGACGAAGAGACACATCTAGGGAAACAAAGCGAGCAACCAGGGTGAACCAAGAGATCTCTGGGAGCAAGGGGGTGGCCTTGGAAGGCCTCTTCGGGCCATCTCTGGGGCCCGCGTGGGGGCGAGGGGAAGAGGAGGATGATGATGAGGAGGAGGAGGAGGACGAGGAGGACGAGGACGCGGATGAGGAGGAGGACGAGGGGGACGAGGACTAGGACGACGCGGACGAGGACTCATGGAACCATCTAGAGGTATTCTTGCGGCTGCTGCTGCTGCTGCTGCTGCTGCTGCTGCTGCTGCTGGTGCTCTCTGGGAGATTTGGGCAGCGGGCAACCAGAGGGTAAATTCTTCACGTTTCGCGTATCCCCACCAGCCCATCTCAAAACAGCAACTCTAGCGAAGCATGCCGACAGTCGTGTTTTTCAGGCGTGTTTCCGCCTGCCCCCGCATATCTCCCCTGTTCCTCTCTCCTCCCGCCTCCTTGCACATCCTCCTTGTGGTGGGAGCGGGAGAAGGACGAGGCGGAGGAGGAGGGAGAGAAAGCGCTCCTCGTGGTTTGAGTCGTTCGGGCTTCTCGTCCTGGTGTGAGTCGTTGGGGCCATTCTTCCTGGTGTGAGTCGTTCGGGCTCTTCGTGGTGTGAGTCGTTCGGGCTCTTCGTCCTTGTGGGAGTCGTTCGGGCTTCTCGTGGTGTGAGTTGTTCGGGCCCCTCGTCCTGGTGTGAGTCGTTCGGGCCCCTCCTCCTGCCCGTCCAGAAACGACGCCCAGGCGAGTAGAGGGTCGTCCTGATGGGCTTTTCGGCGTCTTGGGTGCCTCGGGGGGGCCTCTTTGGGCCGTTTGGGATCCTCTTGGGGGCCTCCTGGGGGCCTCTTGGGGCCATCTTGGGGCCTCTTGGTGGCTTCTGGGCGCTTCTTGGGGCCATCTTGGAGGAAATCGATCAAAGAAGAGGGGAGCTTTAATTAGCGCTGCCCCCTCAGAAGGCCAACATGGGGCCAAAACCTTAGTAAAATCAGCGATTTTGGCTTGAAAGAAGAGGGGAGCTTTAAGTAGCGCTGCCCCCTCAGAAGGCCAAAATGGGGCCAAAACCGTAGTAAAATCAATGATTCTGGCTTCAAAGAAGAGGGGAGCACTTTTCTGCCACCCCCCGTCGGGGCCAGAATCCTGGTGAGGGGTGTCGTTTTTTACCTAACAGCGTAGACTGATAGGTTTCTAGTTGATTCAAAAGAGCTCACAGATCACTCCACAGGGGGGTCCGGGCAGGCGTTGGGAGTTGCCGGCCGGGCCTGTGCCGGGCTCGTTTTTCACAAACAGTCATACACTTCGTGCTCGTCGACCTCTCAGAACCCCATTCCCAGGCCACATTCTGAATAACCGGATGCAACAGTCACACACTTGGTGCTCCTTGACCTCCCAGAACGCCATTCCCGGGCCACATTCGGAATAGCCGGACGCAACAGTCATACAATTCTTCGTACTTGACACCCCAGAACTCCATTCCCGGGCCACATTTTGAATGCCCGGAGCCAACTGTAGGCCACTTCGTGTCCCAGAACTCCATTCCCGGGCCTGGATGCCCGGAGCCAATGTAGGCCATTCGTGGTCTTCGAGTTCCCAGAACTCCATTCCCGGGCCAGATTTTGGATGCCCGGAGCCAACTGTAGGCCACTTCGTGTCTTCGAGTTCCCAGAACTCCATTCCTGGGCATGAATTTGAATGCCCGGAGCCAACTGTAGGCCACTTCGTGTTCTTCGAGTTCCCAGAACTCCATTCCCGGGCCACATTTTGAATGCTGAGGCAGGCTGAGGCTGAGGCTGAGGCAGGCTGATGCTGAGGCAGGCTGAGGCTGAGGCTGAGGCTGATGCAGGCTGAGGCTGAGGCAGCCTGAGGCTGACGCCGAGGCTGAAGGCAGACTGAGGCTGAGGCTGAAGCAGGCTGAGGCTGAGGCTGAGGCAGGCTGAGGCTGAGGCAGGCTGAGGCTGAGGCTGAGGCAGGCTGAGGCTGAGGCTGTGTCAGTGACTGCCGTTGCCACTGCGACTGTCATCGCGAATGCGACTACGACTGCGAGAACAGCACAATTCTACAACTGGATTCTCATCTGAATCTTAAGGGGAATGCTTCCAGATATGCTCCTACACATCGCTGTTAGGTTGCTTTGCCGGGATAATTAGCCCTCCCAGGAGTCGAAAAAGACCCTTCCAACGACCCGCGGGGCGCCCTCTCCAGGCCCAGGGGGAGGGGGTAGGGGGAGGGGTAAACCCCTCCCCGAAGGGGAAGAAGGGGGTTGAGAACAGAGCGGGCTCTCTAAACCACTCACGCCCAAAGGGCTGGTGGGATTGGAGCATCGCAGGCCTTCTTGAAGCTACGTGGCTGATTGGGGGGATATTGGAGTCCTCTTGAAACTCTTTTGGGGCATGTTGGAGCCCGCTTAGGGCTCTTTGGGGGTCTTGGGGTCCTCTTGGGGCTCTTTTGGGGCGTCTTAGGGCCCTCTTTGGGCCCTCTTGGGGCTCTTTTGGGGTTCTCTTGGCATTATCTTCGGGCCCTCTTGGGCGCTATGGAGCGCCTCTTGGGGACGTCTTGGAGACAATCGATCAAACGTTGGGGGGTCCTCGATTTGCCTCCCCCTCCAGGGCCACCGAAATCGCCTCTTGGGGTCCTCTTGGGGCGCTCTTGGAGCGATCTTTGGCGCTCTTAGGGCCGTCTTGGGGGCCTCTTTGACCCCACTTGGAGCTTTCTTGGGCCATTTGGGGCCACGTTGAGGCCTCAAAGGCGCATCGGAAATGAAAAGGCGAGAAGGCAAACATCATTGTGTTCCCTTAGGTGTTTGAAGGATTTTGGCTTCTCGGTGGGGCCCCGAGGGAGCTCTGAGAGCACCTGGAACCGTGTTGGCTATCTTGGGGCCTCTTGGAAGCATGTTGTTAGTGTTCTTGACCCATGCTGGGCTATCTTGAGTGATCTTGTAGGCTATCTTGGGGCTCACTGAGGCCAACTTGGAGCCATCTTGAGAGGAAAGGGGCCCTCTGCCACCTCGCAACCCCCCCCCGTCCAGGTCCAATGGAGGGGATAGGGGGAGGGGTAAACCCCTCCCCGATGGGGAAGAGGGGGCTCTTGGAAGAGGAAAGAAAGTCAACGTTCGACCACCTGTCGTGCAAAGGGCTGGTGGGATTAATCGTCGGCTCCCCAAACATGGGAAGATACGGGAAAATAGGGGGCATCCTGGGATTCGTGCGTCTTTATTGGTGTGCCCCCAGGGCTTCTTCCACAGGTGCTCGTCACTTTCGAGCTGCTGGAGTGGAAGCACCTGGGGGATCCCGGGCTGCGGCCAGCGCCCATGTGGCCGCAGCCGCTGCCCCCGCGCCACGCCGGCCTGAGCGGCTCGGTCCCGACGGACGGCGCTCCGCTCTGCAGGCTGCGGAAGGCCACGCTGCACTTCGCCCTGCACGGGCTGCGGGACCTGGTCATGCAGACCGGCGCGCTGCCAGAGGTGGTCGTCCGGGTCAAGAGTTTTGAGCAGGGAGATCACGAGGGCGAGGATCGAAGAGGCACATGGAATCAGCAGATTGACGATCCGATGATCAGGGAGTCGCCTCCCGAGAAGTTTGACCATCGTTTGCTGAGCAGTTTGCAGGGAGGCTGCACCAGTTTCTTCAGCTCCTGGGGCACCTCCAAGGTTGATAGCAGAATTTGGCCCAGGTCTGTCTTCAGAAACGTCCGAGAAGTTGGTCCAGATCCCTTGAGCGGTAACTTTCCTGATCACCTGTTCTGCCGTGACCGTTCGGAGCCCCGCGCGGACTTCCCGGATCGGCGCGGGGCGCGCCAATATGTCGGCGCCTCTCTGGGGAACCCGCGCGGAGCTCCGAAAGTGTATGTTTCTTCGCTCGAGGAGGAAGAGAAGGAGGCTTCCTCCACTCTAGGAGGAAGTGGCTTCCTCCTAGAGAGGCTTCCTCCGAAAGTGGATGTTTCTCCAAAAGTGGATTGCCTTCCTCCACTTTAGGGAGTGAAGGAGGCTTCCTCTGAAAGTGGATGTTTCTCCACTCTGCAGTGGCTTCCTCCACCCGAGGAGGAAGAGAAGGTCGGCTCCGCGCCCGGCCGCTTCTACACGCTGCGCTTCCGGAGGCGCCCGGCCGTGGGCGCCGGCGACCGGCGGAGCCAGCTGCTGGAGTGGAAGTCGGACGCGCTGGGCAGCACGGACTGCGGCAACTTCGAGATGCTGGAGGTCCAGAGCCCAGCGGGCCCTGGAAAAACGACAGGGCCGTTTTGTTCCCGCTTCGGTTCTGCCGTTTTTGCTGCCGCTTCCGACGCCGTTTTTGCTCCCGGTTCCGTCGCCGTTTTTTGACCGGTTCCGGCTCCAGTTTCAATCCTGGAGCCGTTTTTTTGCCGTTTCCGGTCGCCGTTTCTTTGCCGTTTCCATTTTCAAATTCTTGTTCGGAAACCGGAAACGGTGAAAAAACGGCCCTGCCGTTTCCGGGGCCGCAAAGGTCCAGAGGATGCGGGTCATGGTGCCCGACAGTGCCGTGTTCGAGCCCTGCGTCTCCGTAGAAGTGCGCGAGCAGCCTTCGGCTGGGCTGTTCGGCAGGCTGACCCAGGGCCCGCTCATCGGCGAGCATCGCTGCAGCCTCAGCAAGATGCTTCCGTGCTTCTGGTACGCGGCGGCGAGCGAGGGGGGGGAAATGGGAAGGAGAAGGCTTTCTTGGAAGGCTCGGAAGTCCCTCGGCCTTCTAAGACGTTGTCTAAGCAACTTCTCAGAAGACGCAAAGGGTTCTGAGAAGTCCCGCCGCCTTCTGAGAAGGCCTTCTCCTTGTCGCTTCTCCCCCCTTCGCTCGCCGCCGAGGTACGACGGCGTGACCCTGGACCAGCCCTTCCACAAGCAGGAGGCGCGAGTCCGGAGCGCCCTCGCCGCGACGGAGGTGCAGGTTCGCTCCCAGGACGCCGGGTGATGGCATGGCGCTTTTGGTCCCCTCCTCCTCCTCCTCCTTTTCCTCCTTTTCCTCCTCCTCCTCCTCCTCCTCCTCCTCCTCCTCCTCCTACCCCTTCTCTTGTCGTCAGGCCGAGGCAATGTTCAAATGCCTCGCCACCGCGGATCAGCGGTGCAGCCTGGGCTCCGTGTGGCACCGCCTGAATGCGGTGTGGGTCCGATGATGTCACGCTCCTTCTCCCGCCCGCTCGCGGGTGCGATAAGGAACGGGCGGAGGGCGGCACTTCACTCTGGGAGATTCGTGGTCGTTCGTTGTCGTCCTTCGTGTCTCGCTTCGTCGTCGTGTCCGTCGCCCCTTTCCTCTTTGGGAGTTGCGGCGCGGCCCTGGATTAAGTTCCGGGGTGGACGTTGTTTGCGCTCCTGGGCCGGAGAGTGGCCCTTCCCCACCCCCTCCCCGCTCTGCTGCCGCCGCTGTCGCCGTTGCAGCTGTCAGGCCAAGGCTTTCAGTACCCTTGCCACCTCGGCCAGGAGGTGCGGCCTGGACGCGGGGAGACCCCAGTGGCACCTCCTGGTCTGAGGTGAACCGCCGTTGACGGTCACGGAGGCGGGGCCCGCGGCTTCCCGCCTGCAGCCTCTCGGTTGCAGTGCTCTTGCCGCGGGCATACTGTTGCCGCGCTTGTGGGGGGGCGGGCGTCGGGCAACGCTCCGTGTATTGTCCCTTGGGCGCCGATCCCGAACCCCCATGCGCCATTCTGGCGCAGGGTGTAGGACGGTCCGTCCATGGTTTGTTTTCTTTCCCTTGAGTTCCTCCCTAAGGCGCAGAGTTTCTGGCGCCATTGGGAGTTAGTCAGGGAATGGAAGCCGGAGGTCAGGTCCCAGCTTGTGTCCGTGATCCACATTTTTTGCGCGTGTGCCCTTGGTGTTGGCCGTTGGCCGCTTTGGCCGTTGGCCAGGGCACGTTGGCCCGCGCTTTGTTGAGCGCCACGGTTTTGTTTTGCCCCTTTGGGCCTGCAGCCTCCTCCTCCTCTTCCTCCTCCTCCTCCTCCTCCTCCTCCTCCTCCTCCTCCTCCTCCTCCTCCCCCCCCTGGTCCTTCGACTACAGTCGGGCATCGGAAGCAAAAAGGACTCCCCCCGAAAAGCTGGGCCCGTGTTCCTTCGTCAACTAGCCAGAAAGTTGGCTCCAATGTCAACCACAGCAATGGGCCCAGTCTTGTTGAAAGGAAATGCTGGAGAGCTGGCCCAGATTTCCTAAATTCTACGTTTCTTGATCAGATTTTCGGCTGTAATCGAAAGAGTGACGTTTCGCTGGGGTGAGCTTCGGTGCGGGCCCAATGGGGCCCCCCGATCCATGAACGCGACGCGATAGCAGCGGCTTGCGCGCCCAGGTTTGGCCCCTCTCCCTCCTTCTCCTCCTCCTCCTCCTCGTCCTCCTCTCCTACTCCTCCTCCTCCTGCTTCTCCTCCTCCTCGTCCTCCTCCTTTTCCCCCTTGCGGTCGTTATCGTTGTCGTCGTCGTCGTCGTGGCCGTCGCGGCGGATCTAATTGTCCTTCCATTGTTGGGCGGGCTGTATCATGGTGGGTGGTCGTTCTCCCAAGGAATCATTGAGGGCGGACAGGACCCCCAACAGTGACACGTCGATTAGTGAATTGTCCGTTTTCGGTTCTCGAGAGGGCGCCGTGGCCGTTAATTTTCCAGGTTTGCGCCCGCCAGGTTTGGGCCTCAGGTCGTTTTCGCTACACCACGTTTTACTACAGGGGGGTTTGTCCACCCCCGAAATAACCAGTTGTGGGCTACCCTACATGCGGACAGATTTGTGAGCATCTTCCCATGCGCATTGCAATATGAATCAGTGTTTGCGGTTGTTGCCGCTACCGTAGTCACAGTTGTAATCGAGATTGTAATCGTGAAGAGATTCGCAATTTTAGTCGTAATCGTAGTCGTCGTCGTCGTCGTCGTCGTCGTCGTCGTCGTCGTCGTCGTCGCGGCGGCAATTATGTTCCCTAGTTTGTTGGGCGGGCTGGGTAACATTGGGGGTGCGAGGGAGTGTACGAGCATCTTCCCATGAGACTTGGCATGCGAATCAGTGGTTGCTGTTGTAGTCGTGTTCGTAGTCGTGGTTGCAATCGTGACTGCCATCATGATTGTAGTCGCGATTGTAGTTGTAGTCGTAGTCGCGCTTGTAGTGTAATCATAATCGTCGTGGTGGCTAGTATGTTCCCTCTATTGTTTGGCGGGTTGGATAATGTTGGGGGGGATCACTATCCCATGGGGTAATCCATTATGGGCCACCTTACACGCGAGAGGATGTGTGAGCATCTTCTCGTAAGGAATGCCAAAGGAATCAGTTGTTGCAGTTATAGGCGTGTTTGCAGTCGTGGTTGTAATCGTGATTGTCATCGTGATAACAGTCGCGTCTGCAGTTGTCATCGTAGTTGCGATTGCAATCGCAATCGTAGTCGCACTCGTCGTCGCATCGTGGTCGTAGTCGCAATCGCAGTCGCAGTCGTCATCGTCGTCGTTGTTTGTGCTGCGGGTGCCGTGAAGAAATAAGTGTTCCACAACTGGTGGACCCCAGTTCGTCAATAAGGGCGTCGGAAAGATATTTTTGTTTCAAGTATAGGGGGTTCTAAAGACCTATCGAGATTACCCTCGTGCCCTTGAAGGTTCCTCAGCTTGGCCAGCGGAGGGTCTCGTGTTCTTGAAGGATGCTCTTTTGTCCTGGGCCTGGCCGTACCGCCCGTCCGATTTCTGCGGTTTCCTTCGGGCGAGGCTAGGACGAGGATAAATATGTTCCAGGGCGTTCAGGAACGTTCTCAGACCGTTCCGGAACGCTCTGAGGAGGTCGCGGCGCCCGATATACATCTTACAGAGTTGCGGGATCTCAGAGATTCTCGATGTGTCCTCGTCGGGATGTATCCTTGTCCTGGCCTCGTCTTATCCTTTCCCGTTCGGTGCGATTAGCGACGTTGGGCGCCCCGTCTGCGTAAGCGACGGCCCAGCTTGAACAAAAAGGAGGAGGAGGAGAAGGAGGAGGAGGAGGATGAGGAAGAAGAATGAGAAGAAGAAGAAGAGGAAAAAGAAGAGGAAGAGGATCCACGTCTGGCCACGTCTGGATCCGCCTCGAAAGGATTATGGTCTTGCCGTCGCTCACCTCCTTTGGAGGCCTCCCAACGCCCTGGCCCCCGAGGAGAGCTTCCAGCAGCGCTCGCTCCAGCTGGGCCGCTCGGCCAGCTCGGACCCCGCCGCCTCCTGCCCGGCGCCCACGCCTCGCTCGGTGGGGGCCGCCGAAGAACCCCCCCTCACACCCAAACACACACACACACATGCACGCATTCACACACACACACATTCACACACACATTCACACACACACACACCCATACACCCATACACCCATACACACATGCACACATACACACACTCATTCACACATTCACACATTCACACATTCAAACGTTCACACATGCGCACATTCACACACAGACGTACACGAGCACGCACACGCACACGCACGCGAACACGTACACACGGACACAGACACAGACACAGGCACAGGCACAGACACAGTCACAGACACAGACACAGACACAGACACAAACAAACCACCATGCATGGTGGGAAGCACTTCCTCGGAGAAGGAACGCCTGCACAAACATAAGCTCTCGGAGGCCCGCTGCCAATCCCTGGTCTTCGCTCTCTGTCGGGGGCCTCCTGGGGGGACCTCGCCGCCACGGCCGGACTCGCCTGGAAGCTCTGGCCAGAGGTGAGCACGTTCCCCTGGGAGAGGTCGGAGGAGGAGGAGGAGGAGGAGGAGGAGAAGGACGAGGAGGAGGAGGGGGAGGAGGAGCAGCAGGAGAAGGAGGAGGAGGAAGAGGAGGGGGAGAAGGTGGAGGAGGAGGTGGCGGAGGAGGAGGAGGAGGAGGAGGAGGAAGAGGACGGGGAGGACGTGGAGGAGGAGGAGGAGGAGGAGGAGGAGGGCGAGGAGAAGGAGGAGGAGGAGGAGGAGGAGGAGGAGGAGGAGGGAGGAGGGGCAAGAGGAGGAGCATAGAGGCCCCCCTTGGGGGGCGCGAAGATCATCGAGTGCTGCGGCTCGGGTTGCAGGGGCGCCCTTCTCACGGGCGCCGCCGCGAGGGCGCGAAGATTGTCGCGCCCTCGCGGGGCGCGATGCGCAAGATGCTGCCGCATAGATAGATCAAAATTTCGGAGGTCCGCGCGGGCTTCCCGGAGCGGCGCTGGGGCTCCCCCTGGTGGCGCCTCCGGCTCCGCCCGTGGTGCGCTCCGCGAAGCCAAGGAGGGGGAGCTCCTCGCCGAGCCAGTGAATGCGCACGGTCCGTCGAACGTTCGTTGCCAAAAGCAGTGCTTGCATTCAGGAGACCTTGTGCTCATCAGGGATCGGGCGAAGAGAACTATGCGCATGCATCGATTCTGGCCAGGCCCATCTTGGGCCCAGGATCGGTGCATATGCTTTCCTGGCCAAGGCAGGAGGGCATATGCACCGATCCTGGGCTCAGGGTGGGCCTGGCCAGAATCGATGCATGCGCATAGTTCTCTTTCCTCTAAGGGATCGGATGGGTGTGCTGGGGTCGCGGCTGGCGCCCGGTCGGTGCGGAGCGCGCCAGGGGCGGCGCTGGAGGCGCCGCCAGGGGAGTCCCAGCGCCGATCCGGTAAATCTGCGCGGACCTGTGAACGTCTCTGATTGTGCCGCTTTTCGTGTGCGAAAACATGTCCGTATACGCGGCCTCGCAGACGGGGCCCCTGGCCCCATCCCAGCGGATACGGAACGTTCTTTCTCGGATGCCCAGCGCGGAACGCATCTGTGTGATTGCGTATCTGCGGAATCGCGCCCCGGAATCTGAACCGCAAGGGCGCGGATACGGATATGCTCGCCGCTACTCGCTAGTCCCCAGACCTCTCCTGGGGTGCGTATTGACCAGAGTTTCGAGGCGAGTCCAGCAGTCGCGACGAGGGCCTCCCAGGATGCCCAAACAGGCGAGAACGAGGGATGGGTAGCGGAGCTCCGAGAGTCGCTATGCTTGTGCCAGTTTTTCTTCGTTCGAGGAAGAACCTCCGAAACTGCATGCTCATGCGGGATGGAGGGAGGGGGGAGGAGGGCGAGGAGGAGGAGGAGGTCGAGGAGGAGGAGGTGGAGGAGGAGGAGGGCGAGGAGGGAGGAGGAGAAGGAGGAGGATTAGGTAAGGAGGAGGAGGAGGCGGAGGAGGAGGAGGAGGGCGAGGAGGAGGAGGAGGAGGAGGAGGAGGAGGAGGAGAGGAGGGCGAGGAGGAGGAGGGCGAGGAGGAGGGAGAGGAGGAGGAGGAGGAGGAGGAGGGAGGAGGAGGAGGAGGAGGAGGGGAGGAGGAGGGAGGGAGGAGGAGGAGGAGGTCGAGGGCGAGGGGCCTCGCAACGTGCCCGCGCGTGCCGCGTGCCCCCCCCCCCCGCAGAGGGCGAGGCCGCCGGCACGGCCGGGGGCGCAGAGGTCGGCAGCAACGGCCTGCCCGCGCAGCTCAGGAGCGGGCCCCGCCCCGCCCCCGCCGGGCGGCCAGAGCGGGCCGTCGGTGGGTGCGATCGGGGGGAGGCGGTCTCGTCCTCCTCCTCCTCCTCCTCCTCCTCGTCATCGTCTTCCTCCTCCTCCTCCTCGGCCTCGTCGTCCTCCTCCTCTCTTCCTCCTCCCCCTTCTCCTCCTGCTCCTCCTCCTTCTCATACTATGTTCTCGTCCTCGGCCTCGTCGTCGTCCTCCGCCTCCTCCTTCTCCTCCTCCGTCGCCTCCGCCTCTGTCTCCTCCTCCTCCTCCTCCTCCTTCTCCTCCTCCTCTTCCTCCTCCTCCTCCTCCTCCCTTCCTCCTCGTCCTCCTGATACTATATACCTGACCTCGTCCTCTTCTTACTCCTCCTCGTTTTCCTCCTCTTTCTCCTTTATACTACATGCTCGCCATCGGCCTCCTCCTCCTCCTCCTCCTCCTCCTCCTCCTCCGTATGCTCCTCCTCCTCCTCCTCCTCGTTCTCGGCCGTCGGCCGGTGCGACCGGGTCAGCCCAGGACTCGAGGCTTTCGGGAGGCAGGTCATCGGTCTCGAGGTCCTCGGGCGGTCCCGTGGGGTTTCGGCGGCCTCCCCGCCTCGGGATGCCTCCCGGCGGCTGGCGCCCCGCCGAGGGCGTGTTTCGGGGTACCCGGCGCGTCCCGGGCGGCCGCTGGCGAGCCGAGCTATGACCCGAAGGCCGTGCGGAGAAACTCAAGGCGGGCGGTGTCCCCTCCTCGTCCTCTTCGTCGTCCTCTGCCTCCTCCTCCTCCTCCTCGTCCTCCTCCTCGTCCTCCTCCTCTTCCTCCTCCTCCTCCTCCTCCTCCTCCTTGTCTCGTCCTCCTCTTCCTGGGCGAGAGCTGGATACCAGACCTCATCGCGCCGCGAAACAATCGCGATGGGAGGTTGCTCGCTGTTCGTCGGGGAGAGGAGTCAGACCCCCTCGCGTCGCGAAACAAATCACGACGCGAGGTTTTTCGCCATGTTCGTCCTCTGGGGGCCCTTCCCAGGCCTCGCGGCCGTCAAAAGGCGACTTAGGATGGAAAACGGGTCCCAAGGAATGGGTCGAGACCTCTGGGGGCCGACGTCATGAACAAATCCTGACGTCGGGGGTCTGGTCGGTGCGATCGAAGTGGGTGCAGAAAGAAGTGGTCAGCCACGCGCAGATCGGGAGCAACGATAGGGGGGGATGGGCAGAGGGGACGCATCGACCCCCAATCGCCCATTGATCGCTGATGGGGGTCTGATAGCCCCACCCCGCTCAGGAACGTGCAGATGTGCTATCGGGGGCCTTCCGCCGATCTATCGGCGATGTATCGCCGATTCCAGGTCGATGTTTCCCCCCCTATGCCAGTCCCCCTCTTATCGTTGCCTCTCAGCCACGCGCAGAGGGTGGTAGGGGGAGGGGGGAGGGCTTCTTAGTGGTACCCTGCTTCTTAGAAGGCGCGGGCTCCTTCTTAGTAGGGCTGGCGTTTTCTAAGAAGCAGCCTCCTTCTAAGACACCTTCCCCCTCCCCCTGCCCCCTCTGTGCGCGCCGCCAAATGCGTATGAAGACTGACAGGATGGCCTCTCCATTTTGAAGAGGATTCGCTGTCGGCGTCGCCGCGTAAGTTGCCCATTCGAGGCCCAAAGCCGCCTGTCCAACAGCGGCCGCTGTCGTTTCTGGACAACATTTGCGGTTGGGCTCCGCATCCACTCTTTACGTACCCATCTCCGGCTTCCAGAGTTGGGGGCATCGACAGGGGACAGGCTCAGGGGAGGGAGTTTGCGGGCCCGCCTTCTCCTCCCCAATCCCCAGTGCTGGTTGATGGCGAAGTGTGATGGGCCCGCCGTCTGGGAGATGAGTCGTGCTCGCACGGAGGCCGTGAGTTCCTGACGCTTCGCGCATCACCCTCTTGTCCCAATCCACCCACCAGTTTGGTGTGCATCGAGGTCCTCTTCTTGGACTTCCTCGGCCTGGCGCGGATTCCCTGGGCTACTCCGCCGTCTCCGCCGCCTGAGTGACTGCGTAGCGCGCTCCGGTCGCTTTCGGCTCCCTCTTTGGCCGTAATTTGGAGCTTGGCGCGACTGCTTCTTCGCTTGACGTCGCGCGGTTGGACCGCGACGTTCGCGAACGAAAAAGTATCCCCACCACTTGACCCAGAAACGATTACCAGGTGATTTGGTTAATCAGGGACGCTTTGAAGCACGCGGTCGCACAGCCGTGTTGGAGGAGCCCAAACTGGGTGGGCAGTACCCTGGGGCCAGAAAACAAGGACCACAAATAGCTTCGCGCACTGAGGTTTAGGAAAAACATCAGTGCAAGATGCGCCATGCTGTTCCCTGTGGGAGAGTGTCTGGCGCAGGTTGCTGCATCTACTATCCGACGCCAGCGTTGCGCAGAGTAGACTTGCATCTCGATGGGCATCCTTGATCTTAGTTCTTGCGCCGAATTGTATCTTAAACTCGCGTGCGTTTTGAACTTGTTCAGGTGCTGGTGCCGCTGCCGGTGCTGCTGCTGATGCGGGCTTTTGGAATATGTCGTGGTGAGGGGTTCTTCGAAGACTCGTAATACCATTTGATAGCCATTTTGGGGCCCTCTTGGGGCCTTCTTGGGGCCCTCTTGGGGCTCTTTATGGGGGTATTGGAGCCTTCTTGGGGCTCTTTGAGGGGGTCTGGGAGGCCTCTTGGGGCCGTCTTCGGCCCAATTGTTTAAAAAGAAGGGGGTCTTCATTCCCGTCGCCCCCTCGGGCGCTCAAGAATTCTGTATTGGGGACTGTTTGGCCCGCTCTTGGAGCGCTCTTGGGCGCTTTGGGGGCCGTTTTGGGGGCCTCTTGGGCCCCTCATGGGGCGATCTTAGGTCTTAGGTCGTCTGAGGGCCATCTGGAGTCTTCAAGAGCCCATCGGAGGCGAAAGGGCGAGAAGGCCAAACACACGTATTGTTCTTACGTGTTTGAAGGATGTTGGCCTCTTTGGGGGTCCTTGGAGGGTTCCGAGGGCTCTTGAAAGCGTTTTGGGGCCGTCCTGGGACCTCTTGGATGCGTGTCGGAGGCTATCTTGAGGTATCTTGAGCGATCTCGGAGGCCATCTTTAAGGCCCTCTCGGAGCTATCTTGGGCCAGCGGGGACCCTCTGCCACCTCGCGGGGGAGCCCGTCCAGACCCAGGGGGGTAGGTAAACCTCCCGAGCGCGGAAAGGAAGGAGGTTGGAAAAAAGGAAAAACCCCAGACCACCTGCGACCAGAGGGCAGGTGGGATTTCAAGGCTAAGTGTCACCCGCGCGCGTGGTTTTCCTTGAGCCGTAAACCACCGCGCGGCGAGGGTAGCCGCCCATTTTCACCGTCGTGGCTCCCCAGGTTCGTTTCTTGGCTACGGAGTGCATCTGGCTTGCGGCGCTCTCAGAAAATGGGGGGGGGGCATGGGCAACGCTACAGCCGGCCCGGATTAGTAGGTCGACCCTGCCAAACCAAGGGTACCCTTGTGTCCTGTGCCTCGCGACGCGTGCCTTCCTACACTCGTATGGCGATGTGGCCTTCGGAAGGGTCTTTGTGTCCTGTCGCGTGTCCTGTCCAATCAAGTCCGCCTGTTGGGGGGGATAGGCTCAGAAGGCCACGTTTCGATTGCGAGCTTTGTGGTTTGCGGGCGCGGCCGTCGGCTCTCAGCGGTTGGTCCGACCTCGGGCTGCGCGTTCCAGTGGCCGCGCCCCCGCTGAGAGCGCTCCCAGGGGGTACCCGCAGCGGCCCGAGTGGCCGCCCGAGGCCCGCACTTGGCTATGGCCGACAAGTGTTGTGGAAGTCGATTAATGGAGAGGAAGTATGCTGCCAAATAGTCTCCTTATGTGTAACAGATGTTTCGAATATGCTTTGAACACGTTACAAACATGTTGGAAGCATGTTTCGAGCATGCTTTACACAGTTTGCACACATCATTACTTCAATGGCAGGATCGTTAGAGTGTCCATTGTCATGGCGTTTTAAAAGACAACTGGAGCCCGAGTAAGGGGAAACGTTCGGCGACGATGGGCTCGGGAGGGAACGCGCCGACTCCCAGGCGCCCATTCATCACCGATGGGGGCATGACAGCCTACCCCACCCAGGAACGTGCGGAGTCGCTATCGTCTAGGCCTCCCAAGTGGGGTCGGAGCCGACGGGGTCGGAGGATCGCGCCGCGTCGCCGATGCATCGTGGATGCATCGCCGATGCGGCTGGATGTGGAGCCCGATCTGCGTCACGTCGACGTCGCCGATGCAGCGCCGACGTCGCTGGTGCATCGGTGATGCATCGGCGATGCAGCGGCGATGCATCGGCAATGCGGCGCGATCCTTCGAGCCTATCAGCTCGGACCCCATGTAGGAGGCCCTTCTCTCTCTCTCTCTCTATATATATAATATATATGTATCATGGGCCCATCGCTGGGCCATCGGCGAGGTATCGCCGATTCCGCACCGACGCTCCCCACCTGAGCTGGCCCCCCCCAAGGGCTGCTAAATCCGTGGCTGCTAAAATCGACCTCCGGGAAGTTGTCTTCGTCCTTCCGGGAACAAGCCCGTTGACTGTTTCGCGTGCCGCGCCTCATTTCGGGAAGTTGTTTTTCCTTCCGGGAGGGCCGTTTTAGCAGCCACGGTTTTAGCAGCCCTCGCCCAGCTTCCGACTTACGCCAGGCGGGCGCGTCCAGGCCGATTCGCTCGAGGCTCGAGCATCGAGGTTCGAGGATCGGGGGGCAGACAACGGCACACAGTGGAAGCCCCGTGCCGAGAAACACCTTGCTTGCCTCCAGGGTGCCCTGGGTCTCTAGGTTTTTCAGTGCTTTTGCGATGGACAGCGCAAAGTTCCCTCACCAGAAATCCATTGTTTTTGTTCAGGACGGCGTCCACGGAAGTCCCGACCCTTTCCCGTTCCCCGGGTCCGGTTTTTTGTCCTGAGTTTGTTTTTTACGGTCCCGAGGCCCGGCGAGGGCCCCCCGGGGCTGAAAATATGCCAAAACCTCCAGTCCTGATTTTTTAATGATGCGATCATGTT